AACAAAAAAAGAACATAAAAAATGAAAATAAACTAACCAAATAAACCGGCACTTGAAGCAATTGTAATAATATGACCACGATTTAATGCTAACATTGGACCAAGAAATGCTTTAAGAACCTAAATGAAATGTGTGCCATTGTGATTTTATCCTATTCTATAATATATAATTAACAATTGAACTTGCTCAAATTTTGAAGTACTCGAAAGACCCTCACCGTGTCACTACCTATTTACCTTGGAATAATAGTTGAGTATGTTACCTCAAGACGTGTTAAAGTAATATTTAGAGATAATATCTCAATATAATGTCCTAAGGTAGTATTTCAAGGTAATGAGATGAAGTTGTATGAATTATAAATAATAATAGTAGCTTTCTATGGTAGTGATCCTTTGTGGTTAATAGTAAATGCGACAGAATTGATCCAAGTAAAATGTAATACTGAACAACTAATGTAAAGAAATTTTAACAAGGATTTCCAAAACTGAAGAAATAGAACAGTAACTGACAGGACCATTGTAAAATATTATTGAAAAATATTTACCCAAAAATGAGCAATAATATTAACATCAAATGTTCGTTGAATAGATACATCATCAATATCTAATAATGGTTTTCCACTTACTACACCAGCATTATTAATAATCATTGTTACATCACCTACTTCATTTCTAACTTGTTGAGCAACTCGATAGATATCATTTCGATCACATAAATCAACTTTCATAGAATAAACTTTAGTACGAGGATAATCAGCAAGTATTTGTCGTTTTGTTTCTTCATTTCCTTTTTCATTAACATCCCATAGAATTACAGTTGCACCATAATATGCAAAACGTTTAGCTATACCTCGGCCAAGTCCAGAACCTTTGAAATGAATCAATAAAAAAATAGTTCCTAAATAAATTTGTTTTTTTTAACTAACCAGCTCCAGTAATAAGAATAATATCATTTTCAACATTTTTGACTATTTTTTGAACAAATAACGTACTTCCCAATGCTTTAATCCAATAATAAATAAGTATTAAAAATGCTTGTATATATTCAAAAACAACAGCTACAATCGACGACATGTCTGTGTAATAAACAAAGAAAGAACAGATAAAATATACTAAATATCTCTTTCTTCGCTATGATAGTTTGTTGACTTATATATATATATACATATATGTGGTAGGCTGTCATGTTATCGATTATTCATACTTTATTAATAGATATATATGTACTTGATAACTCGGGTGCTTCAATTCAGATATGAAAAAATTCGAAATTTACTTTAAGTTCATATTAGGAATAGATATTTGTAAGTATATATATTTTAGATCGAAAATTTTATGCTCATAGTGCTCCCTACAAATGTTACTAAAGTAATGATTAGTAAAATGATAAGAATATGTCGATACTTCTCGACTTTAAAATGTAGAAATATTCTGAACTTATTTATAAGATCATGATTTCCTATCGATGTCACTGGTAGTAAATGCATTTTTTAATAGGTGTGAAAAAGAAACACCTTTTGACAGTATACTAATGCATATGTATTTACATTATCCTCTTGTACATACCTTTTTTTTCTTAAACACGATCGTTTCGTATTTTTTTTGCTACCAGTTAAAGTATACAACCTTGATTATAATAACTTTCAAAAGTTAATAATAAAGTAGGTTGTCTTTCGTTCTTCAATAATAAAAATAAAAATGTAATTTAATGTTGTTCTATCCAACACATAGTTAATATTTTTCTTTTTCTTTTTCTCACACTTCTTCAATTTTATAAGTGTCTAGCAGTGCGTATAGCAATCGATAATAATAAAAATCAAGATTTTTGTAAATTATGCGTTATACATGTCCCGGTTTTCCTTTATGTTTAAAATCATTTGAAAATGGTTATGTTTTACGTGGTCATCAATTATCTTGTGAATATGCATTAGTTAAAATAAATTCTAATAATCAACGACAAGAACATGCACGAACTATTCGATTTAATTATCCTGTTAATGGAAGAAAAGGAGAGAAACGATATGTAACATATACTGGTTTAGATAATACACAAAAATTTCTTATTCGTGATCGTGATCAATTCAATGGAAATAATAAAACACAACAATCATATAGACGAATGCGTCAACCACCAGATTTAAAAAATATTACTTTACAAACAAAATCAACAGCATTAGATTTTAGTGGATATTATACATAAATAACCGGTGTGATGACTTTTTTTCTTTCTAAATTGAGTTTTATTCGTATGAAAAAAAAAATATAAATGCATTGTTGTTTTAACTATATAAAGAACAATCGATTCTTTCCTATATGAATATTAATTATTTATTACATTTAAACTACATCATGCTTAGATGTCATAGAACAATTTTCATTGGTATTAATATAGTTTTAAATATGTCCTATTGAATTATGAATTCGAGTGCTTTTAAAATAATAATAAAATAAAAAATTGTTCGAATAAAGTTCAAGTATGGATAAAACAAATATCGAAATTTTTTCTTATAAATTTGAACTTTCTGCTCTAGAAAAAAGAAAAAGAAAAGAATTTATTGTCAAATGAAGATTTAACCTTCTGATAATTATGGTCATAAAAAATTTTGTTTATTTAAATGATTTATAAAATCAATGTATTGTAACTTCACTCTACTACAATGTTACATTATTCTATTTAAAAGAGGATATACTGTACATTCATCTAATTATAATAATAATTTATGCTAGAAATCCTACATGTCTAAAGCAAGGCTATATATAATAACAAGATATCATCGCGTTTTTATGCTTAATAAAAATTATATATTCTATTCTCGTTTTACTTTCTATTATTCTTCATAATCTTCTATCATTCACAAAAAAAGGAAGAGCAATAGTCACTGATTATGGACATTTCATAAAAAGTATCAAATAATATGATAGTTCAATAAAGTAATAAAAAATCTGAATAATTATTAAAGCTTGAATATGATCATGAAGTCATTTTGATTTCTTTTCTATTTATTATAATTAACCAAAAAAAAAATTCAATTAATTACTTTTTTTTTAGAGTAAGACGAATATTGATGCAATAGAAAATATGAATATACAAAAGTAAAAAGAAGGCATGAATAAATTGACAACGACAATATAGAGACCACTTCATGATTGTTAGAATAAATTAATATGATGGATCTCTCGCTTCTTTTTTTTTACATTGCAAAAGAATAGCGATGTTTTATTACGCTATTTCTGTTTCGTTATGAATCGATCATATATACACAAGAAGGAGGAACTAATTTGCATGACATATTTTCCTCTCCCATGTCTTTCCTTCAATTCGATATTTCTAGATTTGTCATCATCATAATCTTAAAAAAGCATGAGATAAAACAAAAGAAAGACGGAAACGAGCAATTTTTTTTCTTCAAAGGTATTGAGGATAATAAAAAAAAGTCCACTTTAAAACAGGCGACAAAAGGCTTATGTCATTCTTAATATTGATTATTCAACTATTTGAATAATTAACCATAAAGTATTATTTTTTCCTGTCTTTTAGAATTATAAACTATAGTTTCATCCTATTACTTGAAAAGTATATATGATCTCTATGCTGATCCGTATAAAATCTGAATATTGGACAAAGTATATATATATATACACATATTCATGGAATGAACAGATGATTTTGCTTCTTTTTTTTTCTTTTACTCTTCTCTCTCTCTCTCTCTCTCTCTCTCTCTCTCTCTCTCCGTGTCGAAGTTCAAAAAAATAAATAGGCCGAAGAATAATGAACGCAAGTGAGCGAACGAACGACGAGGAGAGAACAAGAGAGAGAGAGAGAGAGAGAGAAGGGAAGAGGAAAAAATTGTTGAGTGTGTAAGCAAACGCATTCACCATCATCTCACACATTGGAAAAATCGTGATCGAAACGCACAGTTCAGTAGCTAATTTAAACGTTTGATCTTTATCAACATAGCATATACCATTACAAACACATGATCGTCTTTAAACTAACAATTCTTTTTCTTCAAATTCTTATTTCAACAACACAAGAAATATCTAATATTCGATATAATTCATTAATATCTGCACAATGTAAAGCTCGATGTCTATATGAATATCGAACATATCATCAACAACAACGTTCATTACCCTCAATGTTCATTGATGGAAAAACAAAACGTTTATTGGTAAAATTTTGAAAAAAGAAAATTTTTTCTTGCCTTTTCCTCCCTTCATCTTGTTAAAAATTAAACCTAAAGGTGTGTACATTTATTTTGTCAATTAATCTCTTTGACAAACACAATTTCTAAATTTGATTTGTTTGAGTTCAAACAGGAAAAATACAATGAAGGTGTCATATAATACAGGTGCTTCCGATTCTCATTTATTCATTCTAGACAATGTTTTTGTTATTCTTTTTTCGTCTATAGAATAAATGAGATGTCTATACAGTCATTTAATCTAATGACAAAAAATATATATATTTTTTTCATTTTAATGATGTTGATTTTATTATAATAATCATTATAATGTTTTTTAGTCGACAAATATATTAACATTACCATGGAGATCTATTTGGGAGCGTTGTCCACGCCTTATCACATGTAGTTCGGTAAGTAAATTGATCGAATAAAGGAGGAGATGAGGGTTAGATTGTCTCGTATTGATAACCATTGTATATATGTATATATACATGTACAACTAATGAGTGTCCAATGTCTGTCTAATTCAATTAAAAGGATTCATACTGATCGATAAACCATTCTATTGACCAGTTGGAAATCAGATCATTATTTCTCATTAATATGTTAACAAGCTCATCTCTTTTTCTTCTTCTAGTGTCTTATCCCTTGTGACTTAGATCCGCCACTTCTTTTATCCAATGAACAAAGTTGCCAAGCAATCTGTTCCACAGTAAGTTATTATTCTTGTATATCAATGTTAAATATATATTCAGATAAAACAAAATCATACCGACAATGAAATATGTTTATTTATAATAGACAAAGTAACTTATCTGTTCTTTGTTATAGTTAAAAAGTTTGGAATGTGAACAAAGTTGTATATTTATTCAAAATCTTTATCGACAACAATTAAATTGTTTGACAGATAATTGTCAATCATGTTCTTTATCAAATGATTGTATGAGTAAGTTGGAAAGATTTATATTATCATTGAACAAAAAAAAAAAGAAACGAATGTGATTAATCTATTAGATAAAATTCCTCAAATATATAATGTTACAGCAATTGAACGAAAAAGTCGACGAACTGTTAAATTAAAATGGAAATCAAATGGAGAAAAAATTCTTGAACCAATTTTTTATGTTATCGAAGCACAATGGATGTTATCAAATATTAATATTAATCCATATGAACTTGTTTCAAAATGGGGTTTTGTTAAAGAAGAAGTTTCACATACAAAAGCAATTATAAGAAATATTCAACGTGATAATCGTTGGTATAAATTTCGTGTTGCTGCTGTTACAAGACATGGATATTCAACATTTAGTATGACAAATAAACCTTTTCGTTTAAGTAAGATTTCAAATAAAAATATTCTAAATCTTAAATTATTGATGTTTTTTTTAAAGCAAATCAATCGCAAACAGTATCACCAATTCTAGATCGACCAAAGAAATTTTCAATAAAAGATTATCAATTAAATTTCAATACTATCAATGTTACACTTCATTGGCAAAAACCAGATTTACCTGTCACTGGATATCAGGTTTGATTAATTTATATTTTTATATTCTCAAATCATAATCATTCGTACGAAATATCCATTGTAGTTTCATTTTGTTGAATAGATTCAATCCACTATAATATAATTGTTTTTTATCCTTGATGAAGACTTTTACTTTATAAATCACATCAATATTTCTTTTTTTTTATTTCAATCAGATCTCATGGGAGTTAGACAATGATCAATCATCACTTGTAAATAGTATTGACATATCTTCATCATTATCTTCAATGGAATTTACCATTCCATTTCTTTCTCTAGACAAATCCTATCTATTTAAAGTATGTACTCATATTGTCTGTGATAAAAAAAAACTGAGTCAAGTATCCACTTTCTATTTCTATTTTCTATAGATTCGTTCAATAATCATAGCTGAAGGCGATCATATACAAACGAGTTTACCGATAATAATTAATTTTAATTATGAAAATGAATCTTTAATAATAAAAAATCTTTATATATCTAAACCATATTTTATTAATGGTTTAATTAAAACAAATATTTCATGGAATAAAATATTAGATCAACGATTAAAACAATATGATATCTATTGGATTGAACATGAATGTCATTCAGATGTTCTTTCTTGTTGTTATAGACGTGATGCTGTTACAATACAAAATTCATTTCAATTATATGATTTACGTTATAATTGTACATATTTAATAACTATACAACCAATTGGATTAAAACAAAAAAATACTTTTAAATTTTATTTCAATGTTAGTTCATGTGAATTAACAGATGTTTATGGTTCAATACGTCCACCATGTCAAACAGATCGTAGAACAAGTAAGATAGAAAATTAATTAATTATTTATATTTTGGTTTTGGTATGTTTTTGAAGTTGACACATTTTCATCATTACCGCCAATTGATCTTATTGTTACAAGAAATCAATCAGGATTAATTTTGTTATGGCAAAATGTTCAGTCATTCGGTAAAAAATCTCATTTATTTATCAATTAATTATATATATATTATCATTTTAGTTAATGATGTATTCTATCTATTGAATATTGTACAAGTACCAAGTCAATTAGAAATTATTTCAGTTAAACTTCATCCGGTAAGATACAACATATATATATATTAAATTATTAGAAGAAAAAAAAACTTTCAATTTAGATAATAACAGATTATTTTATTCCATATTCAATATATGACGATAATCGATATCTTAATGTAACATTAAGTTTAATTGATAAAATAACTATACGACAACAACAATCAATATTAATTAGTATTAAACAAGAAGAATATCTTAATAGGAAAATTATTAATAGTTCATCATCATTGATAATAACAAATTATTTTCGATATTTACTTCTATTTGTTATATTCATTTTATACAGTAATAATAATGATTAACAAAAAAACAAAACAAAAAATAAGAACAAAAGCGAAGCACTAACGTATATTAACCGTCCGTTTTCTAGTGCATCGCAATACCCCGGTTCTTGTTTTAATCATTAAAACAAATAACTGTCATTAATTTTCTTTTATTTCAATTGTCATTTGTAGAAAGTTGGATTTTTTTTCTTTCTTTTTTTTAAATTTAAATATATTTATTTTTACATATATTGAAAGTCATAGTCTATTGTTGGCAGAAGGAAGACATATAGACATGTTAAATTACTTTTTCTTCGCTGCATGCTATCGGTAAATGAAGCGAGAAATTGATCTTTTCGAGTCGAGTGATAGTGATCGATCAATAAACATGATGTTTGTTTTAGCGATAGAAAGAAAAAGTGTGAAGTGATTGTATTACTATGTACAGAAAATATACTTTGTGCTTCCAAGGTATAATCGATTTAAAATTTTATCAAGCTTTTTTCATGTACCACTAGCAAGAAAAATATTTGACGGAAGTAAACCTCATTCTCATAGGTCACGTTTCAAAAAAATTCAAACTCATGATTCTATTTCTAATCTTACTCAAGACAGTTATAAAATAATGAAGAAATTTTTAGAATGCTCTGATAAATATAAGGCTTGTTATTGAATAAAATATCATCTTACCATTGCTGTATAAACACCTTATCTAGGGTACAAAATTCAGTTACCATAATCGTAACTTGGTTTCAGTAGTCTATGATCCTAAATTATTTCAAAATTTGATAAATGGCATTGAAATCTACTTTTAAACAAAATATCAGCTCATACTTCAAAAAGGACTTGAAATATTTCTTTCTGCGGACAGTTAATTTAACTTCAACTAGACATTTAAATAAGCAGAAATAATATTCTTTCATGATTTATATAGATTATTGTACTGCTATATCGAAAATTCATGTTCTAACGATATAAAAGATTCATAATATGGTCATTTTATCAAGCGACATGCTTTTAAACAAAACTATAATATAGTTACGTGTGCAATTCATATTACAGTTTTCCTTTTTATATATATTTTATTCGTGCATAATATAGATATGTTGAAAGGAGGTAAATATCATTATTATTTTTATCCGGTGTATGCTTTCTTCTTTATATTTGAGAAAGTCTATACTACCTCATCAAATAAAAGAAAGATTATATAATAAAAATCAAAAATAACGAAAGAGATGCAATAAATAAAGACGTAGGGTTTTACTAATCTCTATATTCTTTATAGAATACTAATTCATCTAATTTTATCATAATCAGAAAAAAAGATAGTAGACAGTCTTCAAAGTCTATTGATGATGCTTTGTCATTGTAATATTTATAATACTTTTGTTTCTGCTTCATCTTTGACTGCATCTTTGGTTGTACTAAGTGTTGGTTGAAATGCTTTAACATGAATTTGGGATGACGGATGACCACATTCAACTAATAAACTTTCTATTCTATCCATAAACGGTACCGAACCACATATATATACTTGCGTATCTGATTTTAACACCTTTTCTAAATCATCTTTTCCCAATCGTTGATCTTTACAAAATAATTGATAATAACCTTCTGGAAGTATTGATTTAAGTTCAGCATTAAAAGCTGCATACTCTTCTGACGGTACACAATGAATTAAAATTGCATCATTTGATTTTCCTTGTTTATTTAATTCATGAATCATGGATGAAAGAACTGTTATGCCAACTCCACCTCCAATAAATAAATGATGTTTACCATTTTCAACTAGTTGAAATGTGCCAGCTGGAAAACTTGCTAATATTGTATCACCTATATTATAATTATTTATTATTTCATTTGAAACAACACCTTTAATTTCATTCATATTTTCAATTTTAATAGCAATCGAATAACTTTTACCATCAAATGGTCGAGTAAGACTATAATGTCGATTATGGAAATTTCCATCTTTTCTTATCCGAATTGTTAAATATTGTCCAACATGAAACTTGAACATTTTTCCATTTTGAGGATGTTCTAATGTTAATGCAACTATGGATTCATGAGCAATAACTTCTTTTTTGACAATAGTTAATGGAACAAAACCCTTATCTTCTTCATTTGGACCAAGTTCATCATATAATTGTTTTTCTATGTCAATAAAAATATTTGCAATAATATTATAAGCAGCTGCCCATGCATCTAAAATATCTTGTGTTGATTTGTCACCTAAGAATTGTTGTATTGCTAAAAGTAAATATTTTCCAACAATAGGATAATGTTCGGGTTGAATAGTTAATGCTCGGTGTTTATGGGTAATATGCTTTATTAGTGGCATAATTGTTTCTAAATTATCAATATTTTCAGCAGCAAAATAAATAGTATTTGCTAGTGCTAATGGTTGTGTTCCTATTTTTTGATTTGTTTGATTAAATATATCTAATAATTCAGGATGATTCTCAAACATTTGTTTATAGAACATTGATGCTATTTCTTTTCCATTTTCTTTCAAAATCGGTGCAGTTGATTTGATAATAGCTTTTTGTTCTTGTGTAATAGACATTTTTCAACAAAAAGAATCTAAATACAAATCAAGATCAATATAAATCCAGGAAAAAATGCATACAATATAGAAGCAATGTTTTTTCATATGTATATACAAATAGAAAAAGAATTTTTGTACTCAATAAGTACTGCTCAATATATCAATATATATAAAGCTTTTTTTCATTGTGCACTCATGAGAGAAAACACATGGGAAAAGAGAACATTGAGTAGAAAAAATTGTTATTTCAGATTCAGAAGAATTTAATATGAAAGATCTTTAGTTCTAATATAAAAGAGTCACTCAAAAATAAGTGATAATTAAGTCAGTGACGGAATATTTAAACATCAACAAACAAATCATGATTATCAAAGACGAAACGACTTCATCAAATAACAAACAACTAAATAACAAAGTAATGTGCATAGCTAAGAAAAGATAGTAAAAATAATTGTATTATCTATTCGGAGGTAGTTATTTTGTAAAATGAAGTAACAATGATGCGATAGTGGCTTTCATAAATAGTTGACACTATCATTACAAACGCTATTTTTCTTATTAACGCATAACGAGAATATGCCCTTGAAATTTTAATAATGAGTAAAGGTTCCTATCGATGAATAAGATGTTTTTCCATGGTAGAACTGTCTATCAAAAGATATAACTTGTCCTTAGTATTTAATCTTCGTATTTTCATACTGTCTATTGGGATGATATAATTTTTATATGAGTTTCAGTCTATGTGACAACCATTAGAATATTGTCAATAAAAACAATGTTGTTTTTAGGATTACACTATTGAAATAAGTTGTTTTCCTTACTATAGACAGAGTACGTTCATCGAAACTCGATTCACCTGGCCCTAGACTGTCGAGATATGAATGAGAGTTGATTAATATTAGTTTTGACTTTTAGCAGGAAATCAAATTGAATTTTAACTTCATATAAAATCAAACATTTTCTAAAACTTCGATATTTGACGAATGAATAATAAAGTTTAAAAATGCTTTAGTTTTATTAAAGACAATTTTAGAAAAAGTAGAGTTTCAAAAACAAACTACAGTGTAGATCTCTCTATTACTATATATCAAAATTGATTTTGAACTCTTTTATCTATATGCACTATAGCAAGACTATTAAACTGGCAAGCTTGTGAAAAATGTTTTGCAACACTACAACAACTATAATTTCAAAATTATGAAATTACAATGCGTATATTTCTTAGCTTCTAATCCTGGGCCTTATATCTTTGAGTTGTCGTACAGGATGTTTCGGCACATCATCATTTTTTTCAAAGCATTGTAATACTCTGTATATACGAATGTTCCATTTTTTTGTTATTAATATTATTTTCATCCTCCTCCATATTAAAAGTAAAATTGGCGATGCCTCATTAGTTTAATTTATTTAATAAAATAATTATTTATATATAATTAAGCAATATCTCAAATATTTAAGTTCGCGTCATTTTGATACAAATAAATTAAATATTATGCTATTCAAATAAAATAATATTAGCAAATAAAAATTATATTATCGGATCTATGCTATAGTTATGTGGTCATTTGTGCCAAAAAAAGATCATTTGTACCCAAAAAAGATCGTTGGTATCAAACAATAAAATGATCATTTGTGGCGTATTACTGTCAAAAATAATACATTATAAATAGATCAATTCCCGTTTCTAGACTCTATCCTCACAGTCTAGAGAACAGAAAAGATGGATAATAATTATGAAATAAAACATTTAGTTTTTCATTATTGTAATGAATTGGAAAAGATGTAGCGAGGAACTTTTTTTTGAACAAGAATACAATACTCTGATATTAATCTTTTTAAGTATAAAAATGAGAAGAAAGGCGTCAACAATATTGTATATAGAATAAGAAAGGAAAAACAAGACAAGAGTCAATAGAAATATTAATCTACATAAGATATGAATATAAAAAATGTGGTTAGTGACATGCAAGTGTTTTATGTTTTTACATTGTGTCATGTTCGAAAATAATTAATATTCTATTTATATACGATCTTGTGGCATTCAATTGCTTCCTTACTTGACAAAAAATAATTTCTTCAATAAGCGAAAATAAAATAAGCACAAGCTATTTTCAGTTTTTTTCATAATAAAATAGTTGTTCTAAATACGGGTGGGTCATTTGACTTATTTTAAGATTAAGTTTTTATATTAAAGATGAAAACTTAATATTAAGTTTTAATTTGGAATTATTTTAACTTTTTTCCTCTTCATAATGACGAAGCAGGCTATTCTACGTATGAATACATTGTCAGATGAACCGCCTTTAAATTTAGTTCTGATTCATACTAACTCATGATTAAATTCGTCGATAGCCTTATCGAGTACATTCCCATCGATTTTTAGTAGATCTGATTAGCTTTCAGATCAAAATAAATCGGTTAGAATATAACAATCATTAATTAAAAGCAACAGACTTTCGTATGAATTACCAAAAACCAAAGAAAATAAATTTAGCTAAGGTATACAATTTATTTCTATTATTTGAGAATCACAAAAATACGAAAGAGTACAAACTAATCATAAAATATTTTTAAAAATATTGTCCACCGTAATGCTTATAATACTTTTGTTTCTGCTTCATCGTTGACTGCACCTTTGATTACACTAAGTGTTGGTTGAAATGCTTCAATATGAATTTGGGATGACGGATGACCACATTCAACTAATAAACTTTCTATTCTATCCATAAATGGTACCGAACCACATATATATACTTGCGTATCTGCTTTTAACACCTTTTCTAAATCATCTTTTCCCAATCGTTGATCTTTACAAAATAATTGGTATTGACCTTCTGGAAGTATTGATTTAAGTTCAGCATTAAAAGCTGCATACTCTTCTGACGGTACACAATGAATTAAAATTGCATCATTCGATTTTCCTTGTTTATTTAATTCATGAATCATGGATGAAAGAACTGTTATGCCAACTCCACCTCCAATAAATAAATGATGTTTACCATTTTCAACTAGTTGAAATGTGCCAGCTGGAAAACTTGCTAATATTGTATCACCTATGTTATAATTATTTATTATTTCATTTGAAACAATACCTTTGATTTCATTCATATTTTCAATTTTAACAGCAATCGAATAACTTTTGCCATCAAATGGTCGAGTAAGACTATAATGTCGATTATGAAAATTTCCATCTTTTCTTATCCGAATTGTTAAATATTGTCCAACATGAAACTTGAACATTTTTCCATTTTGAGGACGTTCTAATGTTAATGCAACTATGGATTCATGAGCAATAACTTCTTTTTTGACAATAGTTAATGGAACAAAACCTTTATCTTCTTCATTTGGACCAAGTTCGTCATATAATTGTTTTTCTATGTCAATAAAAATATTTGCAATAATATTATAAGCAGCTGCCCATGCATCTAGAATATCTTGTGTTGATTTGTCACCTAAGAATTGTTTTATGGCTAGTAATAAATATTTTCCAACAATAGGATAATGTTCAGGTTGAATAGTTAATGCTCGATGCTTATGTGCAATAAGTTTTATTTGTGGCATAAGTATTTGTAAATTATCAATATTTTCAGCAGCAAAATAAATAGTATTTGCTAGTGCTAATGGTTGTGTTCCTATTTTTTGATTTGTTTGATTAAATATATCTAATAATTCAGGATGATTCTCAAACATTTGTTTATAAAACATTGATGTTATTTCTTTTCCATTTTCTTTCAAAATCGGTACAGTTGATTTGATAATAGCTTTTTGTTGTTCAGTAATAGACATTTTTCAACAAAAATAATCTAAATCTAAATCAATATCAATATATATGTTCGAAATATGTAATAGAAATTCAGAAAAAAATTGCATACAACATAAAAGTGATGTTTTTTACATAAGTATGTTTTAATAGAAAAGAATTTTTACACTCAACAGGAACTGCTCTATATATCAATATATATATAAAGCATGCTTGTATTATGCGCTGATGAGGTAAAGAACAAGCAAAAAAAAGCATTGAGTGAGAAAAAGTTGTTATTTCAGATTTGAAAAGGATTTAACAAGAAAGATCTTTAGTTCTTTTGTAGAAGAGCAACTCAAAAATAAGGGATAATAAATTAAGAGACGGAATATTTAGACATCAACAAACAAATCATGTTTATCCAAGATGAAAGGATCTTATCGAATATGAAATAACTATTAAAAACTGTGAATAATTATTATAATGTAAGTTAACATGAGTTACTTGAATATTTCAACATTGACGATCAACTATTAGTTCTTATTGATATCAATGAGTGAAAGCGAACAGAAAAAAAGATAATGTGAACAGCTAAGAAAACATAGTAAAAATAAGTATATTATCTGTTCGGAGGCATTTTGTTTTGTAAAAGAAGAAACAATGATGCGATAACGCCTTTGATAAATAGGTGACACCATTATTATAAATATTTTTTTCTTTGGTCTTGTGCTATTTTTCTTATTGATATATGATGAGAATATGTCCTTGAAACTTTAATAATGAAAAAAGCTTCCTATCGATGAATAAGTTGTTTTTATGAAAGAACTGTCTATCGGAATCAAATAATTTTTACACAAGTTTCAAAGTATTTGACAACTATTAGAATATTGTCAATGAAAACGATATTGTTTTTTAGGATTATGGTATTGAAATGAGTTGTTTCTCTTATTACAAATGAAACAGATGGACAATAATTATGAAAAAGGAAATTTGATTCAAACTAATGTGATGAATTGGAAAAGATTCAGAGAGGAACTATATTTTTGATCTAGAATTATAAAGTATGTCAACTGAAATCTGAGAAACACTTTCTACCTATTCATAGATTATTCATATATTTCTTAGATTTGCTTGAAAAATTGCTTTATAATAATACTCTGACCTGTATATTCAATTTAGTTGTGCTCGTATTTGTAGTTTTGTGTGAATATGACGAACGCACTTGATTTTAGTCAAATACATTTTTTTTTCGAAACAGAATACAATACTCTGATATTAATCTTTTTAAGTAAAAAAAATGAGAAGAAAGGTGTCAATAGTATTTTATATAAAATAAAAAAGGAAAGCAAGACAAGAACAAATAGAAATATGAATATAAAAAAGTTGGTTAGTGGCATTTAAGTGTTTTATGTTTTTACATTGTGTCATGTTCGAAAATAATTAATATTCTATTTATATAAGATCTTGTTGTATTCAATTGCTTTCTCCTTTGGTGAAAAACAATTTCTTCAATAAGTGAAAACAAAATACGAAAGGTTTATTTTCATAGTAAAATAGTTGTTCTGAATAATTTTCTTCAGACTATAATTTACAACTCAAAAACGAAGCTGTTCATATATATGTTTAATAAAAGAAACAACATTGGAAAGATGTATATTTAAAAGGTTACTTCTTTTCATCTGTAGGATTACTTACGAAGTAATATTCACTTTTAATTTATTAGCGCTTTTTCTATACTACAAAATTGATGGACGAATAATTTTATGAAATAAAAATATTAATTCGTACGATTCATTTAAGCATACAACCATCGTTTGATTATTGGTTATAAAAAAACCACCTCGACAACCTTACTTGAGTTATATTTATTAGCGTTTTTTTCTTTTGCTTTTTATATTCTATGTAAAAAAATATACACATCAACAAAAACATTTGAGGTCAAAATGTACCCGTTCTTTTGAGTTTCTTTCAGGACATCTCACACCGAATCAATTCACATTGAAAAATAAAGATGATTCTTTGGTATTGTATAGATATGGAACTATAGCATCCATCTGAATGTAAGCACGATACACAGATTTTTTACTCTTATCGATCGAGAGGGGTAATAGATTCTAACCTCCACAATTAACGTTGATATAATTATTTTCATTGTGAAAACAAACGTCTATATCAGCGGAAAGAACCAATCAACTTTTATTTTTAAACGTATTTATACAATAATTGATCCGGAAGATTTATAACGCCAAAAAAACAAGTAATACAGTATGCAAAATTGCCACAACAAATAAATGCCAATTTCATACTAAAATGAATAGTGTTTTTTATGTTTGAAAGGTTAGCATAGAGATTATTGGTCAGTCGAATGCTTAGTCTTATTGAATGAAATAAAAGTCTTTCAAAAACTATTGCATAAGAAGACCCCGTGTTGCAAAACTTCATCATACCTAAATATGTATTTTCTGAAGATTTATTTTTCATCATGTTCATCAACGGTAGAATTAATACGATAAATAAGATTGTATTGCTATTTAGATTCACAATGAGAGTAGATATGTCTAAAATTTACATTTATAACATCCATATGTGTCTAATGATACTTATCAGTCGATTTAATTTACCAACACGAAATTTTCTTTGTCCGAACAGTTTAAAGAGTATATGACCTTATAAAAATAGTACATTGCCTATACCTACGATAGTACTTATGTATTTTTCGAATGATAAAAAATAAAAATATTAGTAATAACAACAATGATGACGACAGTTGTATATGCAAAAGTAGAAAAATTAAAGACAAAGGAAAGTATATTTCGTACAATGAAAATATGTGATTATACAGTAAACAGATGTATTTTCTTTTGATATTGTCAAAACGATTTATGTTTTACTGTATAATATCAGAAGAAGCATAACATTCCTTTTATACTAAACACAATGAATATTCGCTTCAGTAGTCATAAACAAAAACATAATGACCTTTTCCTCAATAATTTCTAGATACTCAGACAGAGTCAAATGCAAATTTGTTTATTCATGATACGAATAATTACTTTGCACATAAATATTTTCCTTCATATCGAATATATTTCTTTGTCTGACTTATCACTTTCTTGAAATTTAATATGAAAAAATAATTTATTATATAAAAAAATTAAGCTAAGCGATAGACTATTTTAAGGTAAATAATAACACAATCGAAATGTATCTGTATTCTTTTCGAGATCATCAATAATATCCGATAAATAAGCAATAGTATTTTCTTTTTGTTGTAAATTATTTGCTTTCTGTACAAATGAATGTTCTAATAATTGTTTATATTTTGGTCGTTGATTTTCATCTTTATTCAAACTAGAAGAAAGAAATTTTCATAACTAAAGAAAATATAAAATATTCTATTACCATATATTAACAAAATCTTTACAATCATCTGAAAGACGATCGATTGTAAGTTTTAATGGTGGTCCTTCAACGATTTGTTGTAATTGATCAAATACAGATTTCCACTCTCGAAATGGAAAATAACCTGTACATATTTCATACTAAAAAAACAATATATATATAGAATATATTTTGTTTATGAAAAATTATTTTTTACAATTGTTATTCCAAATGACCAAACATCTGATCGAACATCATAACCATCACCTGTTGCTCGCATTGGATCTATTCGTTCAGGCTAAAAGACATACATAGAGAGAGAAAAATAAAAATTTATTATTATTTACTGGTAAATATGGACGATAACCAGCATCACGTGTTTTAGTAATAGAATCAATTAATTTTCCACTTATTCCAAAATCACAAAGTTTTATTGCTGTTCTCGAAACTAATATATTCGAAGGTTTAACATCTCGATGTATTATTTTCCAACGAGATTTCATATAATCAAGTGCTTGTAATGTCTAAATAAAAAGGAAAAAAAATATTTTAAAATTATAAAAAAACAAAATTTTAAAATCTTACAGAAAGTGTTATATAAGCAAGAATATTTTCAGGGATGAATTGATTAAGTTTATGATAAATAAATTTATAGAAATGATCCAGTGATGTATTCATTAATTCCATACATATCCAACAATCTCCCTAAATTTATACAAAAATAATAATTAAAGAAAAAAATAATTTTAAATAATTACTTCTTCAAGAAGAGCACCATAAAATTGTATAATATGTGGACATGTATTTTCACGCATAACAATATCTAATTCAATAAGCATTTGTTTTTGACATTGTTCATCAGCTGTTGAACGAATATACTAAAGAAAATTTATTTAGAAAAAAAATATTCAATATTTTTCTTTGTTTTTTTATGATTTACTTTAACAGCCATCATAGTACCACTTTTTTCATGTTTCATTTTACATACAGTACCAAAACTTCCTTCTCCAATAATACCATCATCAATTAAATCATTTAATGAAAATTTATATGACTAATTAAGAAAAAATGAAGATTAATTAGATCTATTAATAAATTGAAAGCAAACCTTTGTATCTGATAGACGAAGTACGCCTGTAGTGGAATTATAATGATTTAATGATGTATTTGAACGACTAGAAATAAATAAATATACCTTTCTTTATTAAAAAGCTGTTAGCACAATCCATGGCGGAAACACGATCGAACTGTTGTTTCTACCGCTAAGAAGATAGTTTTATTGTATCATTATGGAACGGTGTTCACTTCGTTCTGTGGCATAAACGTATAGAAATACCAGAAAGAAATAATCTATACTTGATTAGTATTTTAATAATTGTTACAAAATCCAAAAGAAAAATCGCTTGATATATCTATCTTAATAGTTTTATCTTATTTTGCAACTCAATAGCCATATTTGTAACAGGGTCAAAAAAACATATGTCGGGCACGTCTGCGGGAAGGAGGAGCGGATACAAATTTCTATTTCTATCTCTATACAATTCAACACTCTCTTAAGATCGCATTTCACAGAAGATAATTCACTTTAGGTAGTAATTAATGAATCTCTCGTGAAAATCATGCTTATGTAGATATATTTAAGTGATTCCCGTGCATATGTATCAAAATCTCGTTTGTTTTATAGTTCTTTATGAAAATTTCTATCACTATAATTAAACTAATAGTTTTGTCTAATTTCTCTTTCAAGAAATAATTTAATTATGTACAGTAATCATGCTACTATTTATATTTTCATTATGACTCATTGGAATTGTTACCTGATATGATTAATATCTCCAAGAATAGATCGTTCTCCTTGTTTTTGATATTTTAATTCTGGTTCAATATGAAATAATTTTAATTTAAGTGCTTTCAGTTTTGACTTGCTCACTAAAGCAAAAATAATATATAAAAATATTCTCTTTTTTTTGATAAGACTCACTTTCTTGTTACTATATGAATGACTGTATTATAAAAAGAAAAAAAGGCTTCTTATAGAACACTGAAAACGATGACTCATTATCAATGATTTACCGCCGGACGTGTTAACAAGAAATAGTAGATAACTTTTAACATATGACTCATTGTTTCTGACGCATTTCTAATGAGTTTTGTTTCTATGACTTACATATACACAAACATTATTTATTAAATAAATATTAATCATCAAATTTATTCGAGAATAATAAATTGAATAAAAAAAAAAGAATATTACATATATACATATATATATACAAAATTAAACACTATGTAGATGATGATATTGTCTTTTGACAATATTCAACAAATCCATCAAATAAACAAGGCCATGCTTCCGTATCATCATAAGATTTATAACCATTTAATTGAATAAATTTGGCGAATTGAGGAAATATTGTCCATGTATCACATGTAATTGTTTTCGGAATTTCATTAATTGTATTATTTTCTAAATAATTTAACCATTGATCGAGTATTTGAGGTTTTTCAATTGTTTTCGAATAAAATAAACGCCATAAACTTATAGCATTTTGTGTTGTTAAACAACGTTGTTCATCTATTAAACCATAATGATATGTCCATAAATAAAATTCTTTTTCATATAATAATATATTATAGTTTATTAATATTGTTCGAATATCAATGAAACTATCAAAATGATTTCCAAGAGTTTTTAATCCAAGTAAAAATTCATCTTTTGTTAATAAATACATTTGTTTTGCTCGACAAAGAAAACAAAATAGAAGAACTTCATATGAATCAGGTTCAATTGAAAGATCATAACAAAAACGAAGAATATCATTAACTGATAAACTTTGATGATCATTTGAATAACGTTCAAATATTTGTTCATGACGATCAATTAATGATGATTGTTTTATATCGGATGTTGATGAAAATGTTCCAGTTATTTTCGCAAGTAATTCAGGTATTTTATGTAATGGTAAATCACGTCGTGGCTCCAATGTTGATGGATTCATTATTGGTCGATATAAATGACGAGAATTAATTATTTGATGTTGATCACTATCTTTTTTAAATTTCTTTTTTATATGTTGTGTTAAAACTGATGAATGATTATTACAATTATATGACATTAATTTTGTTTGTAAAAATAATCTATCAGAACACCAACCCATATACACAGTATTTATATACGAAATAATAATAGTTTCACATTAATGATGCAATAATACAAATGAATACATGTATGTTTTTTTTACCAGTGATATTAATCTCGATAGGAAAATTCTCAAGAGTTATTTTTTAACCACACTTTTTTTCTACTGGATAATATTCGATCAATAATATTTGTTGTTGTTCTACCATCGAAATAGTATCCAATCCTCTCAATTCTTCTAGTTTACTCTATGATTGATTATTCTATAAACCAGTTATTATTTTCAAAATAGTTTATATAACAACTAGATTCTTCGATGGTCAATTATTGTTTTTTTTATTTTTTATAAACTGACAATTATTGTAAACGTTGTTCTTTTTATTTAAGATAAATTTCTTATTCGTAAGATAAAAAAAAATGTATTCTCGTTTTGTATGTCGATCAATTCAAAATTCGACAACATCGTTGATTTTTAATCGTTTTCTATCATTAACTCAAGTACAATTAGCAGCCGCAACAAAATTAAAAGAAAAACCAGCAACAACAGCAATACCATCTGATACAACAACTGCTAATACCGAAAAAACATCAACTACAACAGCGACAACAACAAAAAAAGCGAATGTTATATCAGCTGAAGATAAAAAACCAATTCCATCGCCAACATCAGGTTTAAATGATCCAAATAAAACTTATTCGGAAAAAATTCATCGACTTGTTGATGAAATAAGTAAATTATCTTTAGTTGATGTTATGGATTTAAATGAATTATTAAAAGTAAAAATTTTATAATTAATAAAAACATTAAATCTTAAATATTTGTCTTTAGAAAACACTTAAAATTCAAGATGTACCAATTATGGCATCTGGAGGAGCTGGTAATGCACCAGCACCAGCTGCACCGGTAAATAAAAATTGAATAATTGATTAAGAAACACAAATAGTTTTTATTTTAGAAAAAAGAAGAAGATGAAGAAGAAACTGCACGACCAACAGCACAATCGGTATTTAAAGTTCGTTTAATTAAATACGATGACACTAAGAAAGTACCAGTTATTAAACAAGTTAAAGATGTTGTTGAAAATATTAATCTTGTTCAAGTAAAATTAATATTGATTTTTAATATCTTGATTTATGGTTTGTTTTTAGGCTAAAAAATTAGTTGAATCAATTCCTCAAGTTTTACGAGATAATTTAAGTAAAGCCGATGCTGAAACAATGAAAGCTAAAATTGAAGCTGCTGGTGGTGTGTGTGTTGTAGAGTGAGAGAATTTGTTTTTTATTGCTCATTCTAGACTAGTTTAATTCATTGTTCTTTTGTTAACCTTTTTTTTATATATAAAAAAAAGAGAAGAAAAAAAAAACATTTTTTGTTTGTTTATATTCTTACTAACAACGATAGAAATGATATATATATATACATATCTGTTCGGATAGAGATTTTTAGATAATCATCGTATGATTTGATAGAGAATGGATTATAATATATTTGTCTATTGGTTTTTTATTGTAGATTGAAATAATTTTTATTTATTTCGTAAACGGAGGCAAATGGCACTTACGAAACGCCTTCCACTTGCTTCTCGTAAGTTAAAATTTTTATTTTATTAATTAATTAATTTTAATTATTATTTTAGTTCTACAATTAAGTAATCGTCATTTAGCTACTCAAACACCACCACCTCCAGCTGCCAATCCACCACCTAAAGCACAAGCACCACCCACACCACCTCCGGCTCAACCGCAAAAGGTTTATTTTGATTTATCAACAAAAATAACTAAATAAATTGTTTTTATTTCGAATATTCTAGACGAAATTTGGTCCATTAAAAGATGAAGATCGTATTTTTACTAATCTTTATGGCCGACATGATTGGCATTTGAAAGGAGCTATGTCCCGAGTATGTTTTAAAAATAAGATTTTATATATATATTTCAAACGAAATAATCAATAGGGTGATTGGCATAAAACAAAAGAAATTGTTTTAAAAGGTTCAGCTTGGATCATAGATGAAGTGAAAAAAAGTGGATTACGTGGTCGTGGTGGTGCCGGTTTTCCATCAGGTTTAAAATGGAGTTTTATGAATAAACCACCTGATGGTCGGCCAAAATATTTAGTTATTAATGCTGATGAAGGTAATAAAGAAAAAAGAAAGCATTTTTAGGTTTTATTTTTTTCTTCTTTAAGGTGAACCTGGAACATGCAAAGATCGTGAAATTATGCGTCATGATCCACATAAACTTATTGAAGGTTGTCTTATTGCTGGTCATGCAATGGGTGCACGTGCTTGTTATATTTATATTCGAGGAGAATTTTATAATGAAGGTTCAAATGTTCAATTAGCAATTCAAGAAGTATGTATGATATATTGAATATTTCAATAATAAATATCATTATTTAGGCATATAAAGCTGGATATATTGGCAAAAATGCCTGTGGAACAGGTTATGATTTTGATATATTTGTTCATCGTGGAGCCGGTGCTTATATCTGCGGTGAAGAAACTGTATGTATTTATTTTTATTAATTTAAATATATTTTTTTTTGTTTTCTTATTAAGGCTTTGATTGAATCATTGGAAGGTAAACAAGGTAAACCACGTTTGAAACCACCATTTCCAGCTGATATTGGTTTATTTGGTTGTCCAACAACTGTAACCAATGTTGAAACCGTTGCCGTTGCACCAGAAATATGTCGACGTGGTGGAGATTGGTTTGCTTCATTTGGACGTGAACGAAATCGTGGAACTAAAGTTTGTTATTTTTTTGTATTCAATCTAATTTGATTATTTATTTTTTTTTGTTAAATTTAGTTATTTTGTATCAGTGGACATGTTAATAATCCAGTAACTGTCGAAGAAGAAATGTCAATCCCATTAAAAGAACTTATTGAAAGACATGCTGGTGGTGTTCGTGGTGGTTGGGATAATTTATTAGCAATTATTCCTGGTGGATCATCTGTACCTTTATTACCAAAAAAGTAATAGAAATATGAAATTAATTGTAAACGAAACTAAAATTTATCTTTAGAATATGCGATGATGTTTTGATGGATTTTGATGCACTTGTCGCTGTTCAATCAGGTTTAGGTACTGCAGCTGTTATTGTTATGGATAAATCAACAGATGTAGTTAAAGCTATTGCGCGTCTTTCGGATTTCTATCAACATGAATCATGTGGTCAAGTAAATAAGACATAGTTTTATTATCTAGATTAATATTAATATTTAATATTTTTAGTGTACACCTTGTCGTGAAGGAACTGGTTGGTTAGCTAAAATGATGAATCGATTTGGTACGAAAACACATTTGAATTTTTATATATCTGAACTATTGTTATTTTAGTCGCTGGTAATGCTCGTCCCGCTGAAATTGATATGATATGGGAATTATCAAAACAAATTGAAGGACACACAATTTGTGCTTTAGGTGATGCTGCTGCATGGCCTGTTCAAGTATGTATTCAAGAAAAAAAGAAATCGATATAAATAATAAAAGACTTTATTTATTTATTTAGGGTCTTATTCGACATTATCGACCAGAAATGGAACGTCGTATGGCTGAATATGCTGCAAAACATGGTGATGCACCACAAAAAGTTAGTGCTAGTGGCCATTGAACTTATTAAATACTCTTACTTTTCCTACACATCCTCTTTTTTTTGTTTTATTGTACAGAGTATTTCTAGATAAGACAGTTTCTTTTTTTTGCTCTCCTATTTACGATTAAATAAACACCACATTAAATTTATTTATTAGTTTTTTAATGAAAATTTTTAGTTCCATTTAATGTCTGATTAAGGATTTGCGGTTCAATAGCTACAATAATATTAAGAACAACATTTATAATAGTTACAAGAACAGATAACATAAGAGAAAAATTATTTAATGATACTAAACGATGTTGATGACCTTTTTTTGATATATCATCTGTACCTAATAGTACTAAAATACAAGCATTGAAAATTTGAATAATTAATGATGCACAAACAAGTATTAAACCAACCAACCAAAGTGTATCTTTATTAGATGTATTACCAAGAAGAGTTTTTAATTGTATAGCATTTGTTGCAATTAATGCGATTTCTAAATTACCAACTGCTAAAGTTTTTTTCGTTGCATATTGATTAACAGTTGTTGTTCCACTATCTAGACTATTTGGTGGATTGGATGTTTCTTCAACTGACATGCCGTCTTTTGTCATTTTGGATGAAAATGAAAGGAGATCTCTTGTGTTAATATTAATTTTTCTTATAGAGCAAATGAAAAAAACTCATGATATAAGTAAATAAATGATAAGATAGTCTTCTAATCAAATATTTATAAAACAAAAGATTGTTTTTTTATTACCACTGTTACATAGGAAATATATCTAGTTAGAAAAATATATTTCGAACTCCAATTGTCTTTATAATCTTTCTGTACAAATATATTATATGATCTTCTCTATACATAAAATATGCAGTGGCTGATTTACAATAGTATATGTACATTTATATACAATAATATACAAAAAAAATTAACACTGTTGATTAACAAACATTAAATTAGGTACATTAATGGCATTTATACAATGTACTTGATTTTTTCGAATAATATATTTTTTGAAAATATTTATTAGAACTTTTCTTACATCATCGGTTGTAATTAAATTAATTAACGTAGTTGCACCTTGACCAATAGTTATAAATATATAACCGATTGAAATTATATATGGCCATGATGGCATCACATGAATTTCTATTAAAATATTTAAAAAACCATAAGGAAAACCAAGTAAGAATAATACAATGACAATTATAAGAATGCGACGAATAAGACGAAGTTCAGAATGATGACGATGATGTCCAGTAATATTAAGACGTTTTGTAGTCGAATGGGAATTTTGTTTCATATATTTAACAATATGAATGTAGATGAATATGATCGTTAATAAAGGAAAGACAAAAATGATTAAAGTAAAATAAATAGAACTTAATGTTTCGTCTATTGATACCTACAATGAATAATTATATTTTAGTTAATTTAAAAAATAATATAAAAAATTCTATGACTTAAAATTTAGAATAAAAATATACTCAATTAATTCAAATGAGAACTGTAATAATTTATCGATTTAAAAATGAGCTAACTATTAAGTAGTAATTTAAAACGAAATGATTCAATTCTTTCCGTTTTTACCTGACACATTCGAACTTCGGCATAATATTTCATTTGACCAGTTAGAAAAACAGGAAGACCAAAACTACAAGAAATTACCCATTGTATAATAACCATATAGATATTAAAAGATTTTGTTTGAAAATATCTTTTTGTTGAATATACAGTGACAAAAAGTCGATGAAATGCTTGAACACACAATGTATGATATAGAAGACCAGTTCCCATTTGTAAAAGTAATCCACGAAAACGACATAATATATCATCACCAACATCTGATAATTGATAAATACCTTGACACATATAAATTATATTAATAATAAGACCAGCAACTGTAGAATTAAGTACAAGACAATTGTGTAATGTATGACATTGACGATTTGTAGCCATTATAATTATAAAGATAAGTGTACAAATAATACCAAATAAACTGGATAAAATCGTTGAGAAAGAAGATAAAGTTGGTAAAATATTCATTTGATTTTTATTACAGGGACAAATTTTATCTATGAAAATAATGAGAAGATACGTAATATATATATATAACTGACATGAATGCTTCAATAAATAGATGATGTATCAAGTAGTATCAAAAGAACAATAATAGAAAAGAGAAATAATTGAAATCTTTATTTTTTTTTTCAAAGAAAGTCTAGGCAAATTAATATGATGAATATTGAATTTTTGAATGAAGTTCCTCTTGATCTGTTTTTTTATATTTGAACAATTGAATAACTCTTCAAGAATTGATGCATAAAACTAAAGTCATGTGATGAAGATATAAAATAAAGTTCCTGTTTTCTATACTTCAATTAACATCAAGACAGTAATTAAAATTTAACGGGTCATCAAAATACGACACTCAAGTGCAAATCTCATGATAATTTTCAATTGAACTTTGTCAGTCGAAAGTCTATTTCAAGGATAGAAATTATGAAAAGAATCATATGATCTTGTTGAGTTATTCAACTGGGTACACAGATGACAAGTCAAAAGGTTATTATTCCATAGAAAATAATTTATCTTTAAATATAATTATTTCAAATAATTATGTATAGTTAAAGAATAGATTGATTCGCTTTTTTAAAAAATATTAAATTTTCATGTACTAGTGAATATTGATATTTTTTTCATTTCTTTCAAGATTAATCTATGAATATACACAGACCAACGAAATTTATTTTACATATTAGACTTTCGATTGCTTCTATTATTCATTTAAAACAAACACTCAATCATGATTTTGATAATACAGAAATTATCATTGTTTTTATTCTATTACCATAGAGCATTATGAGAGAAATAAAGCGGATAAGAATTCATACTATTTTTATCTGTCATTTTTATTACTGTTAATATTTTGTTCTATGCTATTTTTATTTACCTAAAAAAAACTTTTATAAATAGAATCTAATAAATATAATGCCTTGTAAACTTAACAAAATATATGACAAATATTCTAAAATAAATGTGTGCATACTTCCGACAAAAAATGATCAAATTTTTTTTTGTATTGAGCAAATTTAATCTCAAATATTACATATCCGTACATTCATGACTGTTCACCACGAAGATCACTATACACAAATCATAGGACCCCTCACCTCTCTATCTTTTCTTATCTAACAATATCCTCGAGATTATTGTTATTACAAGATAAAATTAAATCAATATATATAAACAATAAATTATAATACAGATAATATTCATAAATAAAATCAAGTCATTTCTTTTCAATGTTTTTGTTAGTCTGTGCAGAATTATAATTTGTGATGTTCTTGTTAATTTTTGAAGGTCATGTATGATTATACAGATGATAATAAATATGCGACACTAAGTATTAAATTTTTAACGAGTAAATGTTGAGTACATCTATTTGATATTTTATAATCACTAATTAAAAAGATAAACACTGACGCAAGAGTATCACCCTAAAGGCATTCATTTCATTTCAAATGGAAGTGACGTCAAGGAACTTATTGAATAATATACTTAATACTAAACTTTAGTATTATAATCAGAAACAAATACTTCAGTAGAAAAATGGTATTTAATGTATTTTTTTTAAAATTCTTATAAAAAGATTTGTCTGAAGATTATACGCAAGTTTACTGATAGCTTCCTAATTGTGAATAAAGGTCAAACCAATCAGCAGATCCGCAGTGTGGAAGACAGGCAAAAAAATCCTGTGATTTTTGTTCGCAACTAGGATGTAACCAGCTTACTCAACATTTTCTTCTTTTTTTACACATTTTTAATTACTTATCTAACAACTTTAAACAACATTGTCTATTACAAAATTAATGTCAGTTTGACGTCAATTGACAACTTAACATGTAAGACTAAGGTTTATCAGCTCAAACAAATGACGATTAAATACTAACTGGAATAAATTAGTGACCATATTACCGATAAACAGTACGATTAATAATTATTTTAAAGATAACCAATCATACTTTTCAGAACAATTCGTATTAGTTAATACTGACTAGTATTCATTCACAGCTTTAAATATCATTAATCTTTTTCCATATTGACCAGCATCAATAAATACAGATAATTATCCATTTATATTAATTATAGATAACGACTGCCGATCTATACCAGTTAGTGTTTAATTCAACGTGTGATGCGATCAGTCAACGTTACGATTGAGTCTCTAATTCGAGATTTATCTACAGACTGACGTCATTCTTTTAATAGCCAATGCTGCCTAAGGCTATACATAAATAATTGAAAAAAGATTAAAAAACCAGAAGTAAAACTAGAGTTAGTCTACGTGGGCTCTTCAAACAATATTGTTTTCCATGAGACAATATCTCTCTCATCATAATACTAAACACACTTTCAGTTATATTATTCAATGCATTCTTTGATATTGCTGATATTTTTAAATATAATGAATGTCTTCCAGCGAAATTCTTCTATTAAAATCTATCTCCTTCTTTTTTACTTTTATCCGTAATATACTTTATCATTTTTATCAATCTAGATATGACCTCACCAACTCTGACAGCGATTCAAACGCAATTAAATTTCTATGCAAATCCATCTGTTGCAATTTTAGGTGGTATCGGTAATATATTTGTTACTATAATTTTCAGTCAACAACATCGAAATGCATGTTCAATGTATCTAGTTATTGCAGCAATATTCAACACTTTTTATTTAGCATTTAATCGTGTCTTACAATACTTTCCGTTTTACTATTTGGATGGAACAGTACGAGCATTTTTTTTATGTAAACTTCGTTCGTATCTTCCAACTGTTCTTGGACAAGTGGCTAAGACAATGATTGTTTTTGCATGTATTGATCGATATATGATTACAAGTAATCGTGCTACTTTTCGAGCATTTAGTACTACTAAACGTGCAAAATATCTCATAGTTTTTTCAATTATTTTTTGGCCATTAGTTTCCTGTCACATTGCAACAGAGACAACAATTATCCGTGGAATATGCGGTACATTTGGTGTTTATGCAACAATTTTCAGCATTTTTACCATTATAGTTATTGGCTCAATTCCACCTATTACGATGAGTATATGTGGTTATTTAACATATCGTAACATGAGACACATACGTGTTCGTATTCAACCAGCTGTAAACAATACAAACGAAGGGAATGTTAACATTCGACAACGAGATCGAGATTTATTAGTGATTGTTATTTATGAAATATTTATTTATGTTTTGACAGCATCTTTATATCCAATAGTTCTTGTAGAAACAATAATTACTAATAATACAATGTCAAGTAAAACTGCTCAACATTTACAAATTGAAAGTTTTCTACTTTTTATGGCATATCTATTATTATCTGTGAATAGTGCTGCAGCTTGTTATATTTACCTTATTTTATCAAAATCATTTCGTCGAGATTTTAAACAGTTATTCATCTATACCTATCGAAAATTAACAAGAGGAGCAGAAGTTGTAACTCATCACGGACCAACTAGAACAGTAAAAATAAGAAACACTCAAGTTTAATAAAAACTACTTTATTCTATTTTCTAAATATTGTTTGTATTGTAATTTGTTGTTTGGATATGTAAATATGTATATTGAAAATAAATATTCTCGTAAATATATATTGATTCGATTTTGTTTTTCAATAATAATGTAAAACATTCTGTTCAAAACGTTGTCAACTACCCGTTATCAATTCGAGAGAAATCTCGAATTAAACATATTAGAGTAAAGGTAAACAGCGAAAATGAATGACGATTAAATACTCGTTGCTATGAACCATTAATTGTATTGCCCATAAAAAGTATAATTAATAATTGTTCGAAAGGTGACGAGTAATACTTTTCCGGACAATTCGTATTAGTTAATACTGACTAGTATTCATTCACAGCTTTAAATATCATTAATCTTTTTCCATATTGACGAGCATCAATAAATGCAGATAAGTATCCATTTATATTAATTACAGATAACGACTCCTGATTCATATCAGTTAGTGTCTAATTCAACCTGTGATGCAATCAGTCAACATTACGACTGAATCTCTAATTTGAGATTTATCTACAGACTGACGTCATTCTTTTAACCGTTTCGGGACGGCTGGTACACCGTATATATCACTGTCTTTTTTTAACGGAAGTATATTGTCTTTTGATGATGGCAGGTAGTTATGTTTGCGTTATAGTATGCTTGTACTAACAATGTATATCCAGTATGATTAGCGCGATTCTACTCTAGTACTTTCGCGTGTGTTTTTTGTATCAACATACTATATTATGTCGTTTTGATTTATTAGCTTACATATGCAGACGAAGGTACACAGCAAAGTGTTATCAAGTGGCTACTATCTGATACAAGATCTCTTTTTCTTTCTAAGATTACCGTGATGTAATCAAATCAGTATTATATCTATCTTCTTTCGTCCTATAAAACATACATATTTTTCAGTTTTTACTCTTTCCTCTCCTTATGGTATCTTCTAATAAATTCTTTCCTTTTCACACTTTTATATATTCAGCGGTTGAAATTAATGAGAGATACATCAGAAGAATTGCCGAAATCACAACCCATTTCATTTCAAATATTCTTTTTCCTAAACGTAAACTATGAATTCATTCAAAAATAAACGAAGCACTGAAGTGAATGAAATTCATACGAATGTTCAGACTGTAGTGTAGGCTTGTGTATCCCGAATTGTTTACGCGACTATCACACTCTAAAGTCATATTAATAAACTGGACTGAAAATTAGAATCAATTGATTCTTAAAAACCAATTTTTGTACCTTTTTTCAAAAAACAACAATCCCGTCCTAAAAGGGTTAATAGCCAATGCTGCATAAGGCTATAAATAAATAATTGAAAAAGATTAGAAAAACAGAAGTAAAACTAGAGTTAATCTACGTACACTCTTCAAATCATATTATTTTCAATTAAACAATATATCTCTCATTATAATACTAAACATACTTCCAGCTATATTAATCAATGCATTTTTTAATATTGCTGATATTTTTAAATCTAATGAATGTCTTTTAGAGAAATTTTTCTATTAAAATCTATCTCCATCTTTTTTACTTTTATCAAGAATTAGTTTTTATCTTTTTTTCTTTCATCCGTAATATACTTAACCACTTTCATCAATCTAAATATGTCATCACCCACTCTGACAGCAATTCAAACGCAAATAAATTTCTATGTAAATCCAGCTGTTGCGATTTTAGGTGGTATCGGTAATATATTTGTTATTATAATTTTCAGTCAACAACATCGAAATGCATGTTTCCTGTATCTAGTTACTGCAGCAATATTCAATACGATCTATTTAGGATTTAATCGGATTTTACAATATGTTCCATTTTATTATCTGGATGAAACAGCACGAGCATTCTTCTTATGTAAACTTCGTTTTTATGCTCCAACTGTTCTTGGACAAGTGGCTAAGACAATGATTGTTTTTGCATGTATTGATCGATATATGATTACAAGTAATCGTGCTACTTTTCGAGCATTAAGTACTACTCAACGTGCAAAATATCTCATAGTTTTTTCAATTATTTTTTGGTTGTTAATTTCAAGTCACATTGCAGTCGGGACAACAATTATTAATGCGCAATGTGGTACATTTGGTGTTTATGCAACTATTTACAGCATTTTTACCATAATTGTTATTGGTTCAACTCCACCTATTGTGATGAGTATATGTGGGTATTTAACTTATCGGAATATGAGACACATACGTGTCCGCATTCAACCAGCTGTAAACAATACAAATGAAGGAAACGTTAATATTCGACAACGAGATCGCGATTTATTAACTATTGTCATGTATGAAATATTTATTTATATTTTAACAGCATCTATATATCCAATACTTTTTATAGAAACAATAATTACTAATAATACAATATCAAGTAAAAGTGCTCAACATTTACAAATTGAAAGTTTTCTACTTTTTATGGCATATTTATTACTGTCTGTGAATAGTGCTGCAGCTTGTTATATTTACCTAGTTTTATCAAAATCGTTTCGTCGAGATTTTAAACAATTATTCATATATATCTATCGGAAATTAACAAGACAAACATAAGTTATGAGTCTTCGTGGATCAACTGCAACAGTAAAAAGAAACACTTGAGTTTAATAAAAATTATTTTATTTTATTTTCTAAATATTGTTTGTATTGTAATTTATTGTTTGCATATGTAAATCTATATATTGAAAATAAATATTCTCGCAGATATATACTGATTTAGTTTTGTCTTCTAATAATAATAATCGTGAACAAATATTGTTGAACAAGAAAAGAGAGATTTAGATGCAAAATATTTGAAATTATATTGATTTGATGGTAGAATGATCGTAGAGGAAGTATGTGAATAAAATAAGGTAAAAGTAAATAATCATGTGAAGATTTATTACTTTCAATTGCCGCTAGTAATTATTTATATACGTTATCATTTGTAAGACATTACTGTAAATCATTTTTGAATACGTATCACAATATTGTTAAGTTATTTCATTTAGTAGTTTAACATTGAGAAATAACGAGTGATCGAATATTTGTTAGACAAAATGTTTATTCATTTTTGACCAGCAAAAAAACATAATTGACGATCAGAATCTTGTGATTACTATGAATACGGACTTCGATATGTTGTATCTATTTTTGTTCTAGAACAGTGAGTAAGATTTTGAAAGACCTAAAGGATGAATAATTTTTTTTAATGGTGAATCAACATACGTTTTTCCACCTTGAAAGTTTCTTTTCGGTGATGTTGCAAATTGTTGAAGTTCGTCGTTTTCTAGAGCAAACACTTCTCTACAAACTGTGATATTCAACTAAGTTGTAGTATTTACTCGACTATCAGTACAGTCATGTTCTCAAAACCTTCTTTCAATCTGAAGCAGTTTTGAGGAAAAAGTCGATTTTTTAAAAATAGGTATTTAGAAAAAAACAAAACTGGTTGTGCTTTCTCGAAAGAAAAATGATTGAGATAATTCATTTTGTAGAGCGACTTCTGATCTAGAAGTTAATCATACTTAATTATCTCAACTTTGAATCTTGAACTCTAATAGCGAAAATATAAGAAAGCTTTTCTGTCCAACCTGAAATTTTTGCACTTATTGAACATTATTTTATTATTCTTGAAAAACACCGATAATAGAATATTTGAGGTTATATTCGAGAAAAGAATAAAATTCTCATTTAACCCTTTCCGGCCGGATGTTGTCAAATGGCAAAATTGTTGCCGTAGGGGGGTACGGCATTTTCAAAAAAGTCGGCAGTGAAAAATTGATCCCTATAACTAAACAACAAAGAATATATAGAAAGATAACTTTTTGCTTGTTGTCTTCTGGTAGCCGGCTGTAAAGGGTTAAACTCATACTTTTTCTGTCGTTTGTAATAGTTTCTTGCTGGTGAAAAATGAATAAATATTATGTTCAAACGTTTTCGACCACTCGTTATCAATTCGAGGTAGATCTCTAATTAAACATATTAGGGTAAAGGTAATCAGCTCAAACGAATGACAATTAAATGTCAGTCGGTATGAACTATTAACTGTATTACCGGTAAGCAGTACAATTAATAATTGTTTTAAAGATAATCAATCATACTTTAAAGAATAATATGTGTTAGTTAATATTGACTAGTATTCATTCACAGTTATAAATATTATTAATATTTTTCCATATTGACCAGCATCAATATAAACAGATAAGTATTCATTTCTATTAATCAAACAAAACAGTTGCCGATTCATAACAAGTAGTGTTTATTTCAACATGTAATGCAGTTAGTCAATATTAAGATTTCATGTCTAATTCGAAATCTATCTTAAATTAGTATTAGTTTTTTAATAGGCAATGCAACCTAAAGTTGTAAATAAACAATTAAAAGAAAATTAAAAAAAAGTAGTAAAAATAGAGTTAGTTTACGTACATTCCTCAAACAATATGTTTTTCAAGTAAACAATATGTCTCTCATCATAATACCAAACACACTTCAAGGCATATTATTTAATCCATTCTTTAATATTGCTAATATTTTTAAATATCATGAATGACTTCAAGGAAAATATTGTCATTAAAATCTGTCTTCTTCTTTTTTCTATTGAAGAATTAGTTTTCTCTTTTTCTCTTTCATCCGTAATATACTTAACTACTTTCATTAATTCAAATATGTCATCACCAACTCTGACAGCAATTCAAACGCAAATAAATTTCTATGCAAATCCAGCTGTTGCGATTTTAGGTGGTATCGGTAATATATTTGTTATTATAATTTTCAGTCAACAACATCGAAATGCATGTTTCCTGTATCTAGTTACTGCAGCAATATTCAATACGATCTATTTAGGATTTAATCGGATTTTACAATATGTTCCATTTTATTATCTGGATGAAACAGCACGAGCATTCTTCTTATGTAAACTTCGGTTTTATGCTCCAACTGTTCTTGGACAAGTGGCCAAGACAATGATTGTTTTTGCATGTATTGATCGGTATATGATTACAAGTAATCGTGCTACTTTTCGAGCATTAAGTACCTCTAAACGTGCAAAATATCTCATAGTTTTTGCAATTATTTTTTGGTTCTTAATTTCAAGTCACGTTGCAGTCGGGACAACAATTAATAATGGTCAATGTGGTACATTTGGTGTTTATGCAACAGTTTTCAACATTTTTATCATTATAGTTATTGGCTCAATTCCACCTATTACGATGAGTATATGTGGCTATTTAACATATCGGAATATGAGGCGACTACGTCATCGTATTCAACCAGCTGTAAACAATACAAATGAAGGAAACGTTAACATTCGACAAAGAGATCGAGATTTATTAACTATTGTCATGTATGAAATATTTATTTATGTTTTGACAGCATCTTTATATCCAATAGTTCTTGTGGAAACAATGATTAGTAATAATACAGCGTCAAATAAAAGTGCTCAGTATTTACAAGTTGAAAATTTTCTACTTTTTATATCATTTTTATTATTAAATGTGAATAGTGCTGCAGCTTGTTATATTTACCTTATTTTATCAAAATCATTTCGTCGAGATTTTAAACAATTATTTATGTATACCTATCGAAAACTAACAAGACAAACAGAAGTTGTGACTCAACACGGACCACCTGCAACAATAAAAAGAAACACCCAAGTTTAATGAAATTATTTTATTTTATTTTCTAAATATTGTTTGTATTGTAATTTGTTGTTTGCATATGTAAATAAATATTCTCGCAAATATATACTGATTTAATCTTGGCTTCTAAGAATAATAGTCGTAAACAAATATTGTTAACTAAGAAAAGAGAGATTTAGATGCAAAATATTTGGAATTATATTGATTTCATAGTAGGATGATCGTAGAGAAAATATGTGAATAAAATAAAGTGAAAGTAAATGATTATGTGAAGATTGAGGGAGAAGTTCTATGATTGTAATAATGATATTCATGATCAGTGATCATTAATGTACCTATATGTGAGATTTTAAACTGCATTAAAAGAGAAATGAGTGATGAAATAATATTGTTGTTATATCGGTGTAAAGGAAATCAATTGATTAATGGTAAAGAGAACACTAATTGATCGTTCTCTATTCGAACATGAGTGTGAGTATTACATGCATCTTACTGGAACTATTAGATTTTGATGATCAGCTCAGAATTAGAAAAACTTTTATGTTCATTGAAATATTACATCATAATATTTGTTTTTAGCATCGAATGATAATATCATGTTTCGCGCAGAAAGAATGAGAGGAAAAGGATTGTTTTCTATTATCTAAAAGGTTAAAAACATTTTATGGTTTGAAACTAGTATTTTTTGAATTAATTTATTAGTTTTTCATATTTGGTTGCCTTTAGTAGTACATGTAGGATAATCTCACTATCATTTACATAGTTACCTATTATCTATTTGAAAATTTAGTGTAGATATCTCCATCGATGTCTGTCGTATCATCAGGTAAATGTAATCATAGCTTAATTCTATTCTAGATCATATCATTTCAAAGTTCTTTTTCACACTATGAACTTCCAACAATATGTGCTCGATGCAAATTTTGTAGTTTTTCTATAGAAATGTCTTGTAAATTAAATTCTACATAGATTTTGATTTATTATGAGTGCTGCAACGGTGTCTTCATTTTGTTATAGTAATCTGTCGTTAAGATTTGTATATTACTTTCAATCGTCGTTAATATTTATTTATATCTCATTATTTATAAGACATTACTGTAAATCATTTTTGAATACGTATAATAAAGTTGTTCAGTTATTTTTGATCAAGTACGTTGTAGCTTTTACTAAATTGTCATTAAAATCGTTGTGTCAAAACCTCCTCTTAATATAAAGCAGTTTTGATGAAAAAGTTGGGTTTTCAAAAATAACTATTTAGAAAAAAGAAAACTTCTTGTGCTTTCTCGAAAAAAAATAATCTCAAATAGTTCATTTTGCAGAGCAACTTCTGATCTATAAGCTGAAGTATAAATAATCATAGAACTTTGAGTTTCGAGTTCTAATAATGAAAATACAAAAGTGTTCAAGAAGCTTTTCTGTCCAAACTGAATTTTTGGATCTCTCGAAGATTATTTTACTATTTTTAAAAAAACACCGATGATAGAATATTCGAGTGTATGTTCGAGATAAAAATAAAATTCTCATTTAAACTCATACCCTTTTTTTCATCTGTAATACTTTCTTGCTGATGAAAAGTAAATAAACATTATGTTTAAAACGTTTTCGATCACTCGTGGAGGGATGGACAAAACGTTACAGCTCACTTTAGGATTTAAAACGAATTGCTAGTAAACTTTTGATGTTAGACAATGTCTGAAAGTGGGATGCAGATATTCGATGCATCCTCACACACACTTTCGCCCTAATCTTCATTCAGCCATACGCTTGAAATGTTTTGTCCATGCGATGCTCTGTTCGATCACCCTTATTTGAGATTTTTCTCAAACTAGCATTACCTTTGAAATAGACAATTCTTTCAAGGTTGTTAATAAACAATTAAAAGAAAATTAAAAAAAAGTAGTAAAAATAGAGTTAGTTTACGTACACTCCTCAAACAATATTTTTAAATTAAACAGTATATCTCTTATCATAATACCAAACAAACTCTCAGTTATATTATTCAATGCATTTTTTAATATTGCTGATATTTTCAAATATAATGAATGTCTTCAAGTAAAAGTCTTTCATTTAATATTCATCTTCTTTTTTTTATCAAGAATGAGTTTTTATCTTTTTTACTTTCACCAGTAATATACTTAACTACTTTCATCAATGCAAATATGTCATCACCAACTCTGGCAACAATTCAAAATCAATTAAATCGCTATGGAAATTCAATTGCTACTATTCTAGGTGATATCGGTAACATATTCATTATTATAATTTTCAGTCAACAACATCGAAATGCATGTTCAGTATATCTAGTTACTGCTGCAATATGCAATACTTTTTATCTAACATTTAGTTGTATCTTACAATACTTTCCGTTTTACTATTTGGATGAAACAGTACGAGCATTTATTTTATGTAAAATTCGTTATTATGTTCCAATTCTAATTGCACAAATAGCTAAGACAATGATTGTTTTTGCATGTATTGATCGATATATGATTACAAGTAATCGTGCTACTTTTCGAGCATTAAGTACTACTCAACGTGCAAAATATCTCATAGTTTTTTCAATTATTTTTTGGTTCTTAATTTCAAGTCACGTTGTAGTCGGGACAACAATTAATAATGGACAATGTGGTACATTTGGTATTTATGCAACAGTTTTCAACATTTTTATCATTATAGTTGCTGGTTCAATTCCACCTATAATGATGAGTATATGTGGTTATTTAACTTATCGTAATATGAGGCGACTACGTCTTCGTATTCAACCGGCTGTCAATAATACAAATGAAGGAAACGTTAATATTCGACAACGAGATCGAGATTTATTAACTATTGTTATGTATGAGATATTTATTTATGTTATAATGATATCTTTATATCCCTTAATTCTTTTAGAAATAATAATTAGTAATAATACAATGTCAAGTAAAAGTGCTCAATATTTACAAATTGAAACTTTTATAATTATTATTGCGTTATTTTTATCATCTGTAAATAGTGCTGCACCTTTTTATATATATTTTGTTTTATCAAAATCATTTCGTCGAGATTTTATACAATTAATCACACGTACCTATCGAAAATTAACAAGACAAGCACAAATTGTGAGTGTTCACAGAATAACTAGAAACTTCGAAAGAAATACTGCAGTTTAATGAAATTGTTTTATTTTATTTTCTAAATATTGTTTGTATTGTGATTTGTTGCTTGCATACATAAATAGATATCCTCGCAAATATGAATTCAGTTAATTTTGTCTTTTAAAAATTATAATCATAAACAAATATTGTTAAGTGAGAAAAGAGATAGATTTAGATGCAAAATATTTGAAATTATATCCATTTAATGATAAGCCCTCGTCATATTAAAAGGCCCCGAATCTTCTATTATGACGTTTCAAATTTCCTTAAAAGTTTAATTATTTCTGCTAGAAAAAATAATGTTAGTAGAGAAAACTTGTTTTGGGGATCATTTTTTATGTCGGGTGAGATGCGTTAATATGGACGAAGAATGAATGTATGAATCAATATAAGACTACGGGAAGAGAGATTTTATGATATGTAATCGTGATATTCGTAGTGAGTGGTCATGAATGTACCTGTATGTGAGATGTTAAGCTGTATCAGAAATGAATGTGAGTATTATATACATCTTACTGAAACTATCAGATTTTGATGATCAGCTTAGAATTAGAAAACCTTTTATGTTCATTGAAATACTTGATCATAATATTTGTTCTTAGCATCGGATAATAGCATCATGTTTCATATAGACAGAACGATTGTTTTCTATTATGAGATATTTTATAAATATTTTATAGTTTGAAACTGTAGTATTTTATTGAATTAATTTATTAATTTTTCATATTTGATCGCCTTTAGTATCACTCGCAGCATAATCTTACTATCATTTACATAGATTTGTATATTACTTTCATTTGCCGCTAGTAGAATATCCCGAGATATAGTTTAAAAGGTCATCTATAAGAAAAATCATCCAAAAGTCATTTGATATCAGTCGATGAAATAGTTGAGAAAAATATTCATGCAACAAAATCTCTTCTTTGATTCATCACGTATAAATGACTATGTTATGTTTTTTAACATCGCGAAATAAATGTAAAAATACAAGTGTAGTTTAATCTTTAAGTCAGACATAATTTTTTTTCAATATTCATCTCATAGAGACTATCACACAAATAATCCTACATTATCTCAGACTCTGAAAAAGTTCACAGTATATAAATTTACAATACTCTGATAAGAACTATTTCTACTTAATTTAACTCTCATTCCATTATACCGACAATCATGATATTTGTTTTCCGTTAGATTCCGTTGTCATACTGCTATAGAATAGAAATAAATTTTTCCATAATAATTACTCAATTGAATATTATACGCAATTATTCTATTTTCCAGAATTCCCTAGACTATTTCGAATAGAAATGTCTTTGACAAAAAAGAAAGCTAATTATAATCATTCAAATATTCTAAACATGAATAATTATGTAATTGATTCTATTTACTTCAAACATCTTCCTATATTCATATATATTTTTGATCATTTCAGTACGTTTAGATTATTTATATTTACTTATGATAGACCATGAGTAATATTTAACTAATGGTATTTTTTTTGTCTAAATAAAATATTATAGAACATGAATTCATTTTAGTTGAATAGTGAAATATATGATTAATAAAAATAATTATTAAGATTGAATAGAGATTTGTGCATCAAAAAAAAATTATATATTGTGTTCGTTAGGTTTCTTAGTAAACATAGAATGTCAAAAATAGTCCATATATTAATTTGACAGGAGGACGTAGCTAATCACTATGGAATTTTATGTTTGTTTGACATCTATGACGTCAGTATATGTTTTTTTTACTCGTTATATATTCTTGTTAAAAACAAACTTATAAAGAATTTCTTATTAGGTTCATTCATTGATGTAATCTAATCTTATCTGTAGTTTTTTAATATTTAAACATATATTGAAAATTATAAGAGAACATTTCTAGACTATTGTGACCTAATTTCTTCAGAAAAACAAAAGATGTTTTTTATTTTTTTAAAATTCATTTACTTAACAAATATCTTCATTGTTATTCTAGAACGATTCAAAAATAAATTTTATTTTTGATAATTCATCAATTATATTCGAGTACAAACAGATATATAAATATAACTTTTTCAAACAAGACAAGAATATTAGATCGTCAATCTTTGTATAGAATAACAATAATGTTAATTACACTTTTCTCTCTTTTTACAATGCATGAATAAATTATAGTTAAAGAAAAGTATATTGTACCTATCTTGATTTCAATGCAAGAGCTACAAAGCG